AAAAAATAAACTAAAATTATTAAAAAAAAAATAAAAAATAATAAAATGAGATTCTTATTTATATATATTGTTAAATTTTCATCTAAAACTTTTATTAAAAAAACTAAAAAATAAACTAAAATTATTTATATATATATAAAAAAAAAAAACAGAATGAATAATTCCTTGTGTTTGTGCGATATTTGACTAACAATAATGGAGCTAAACGCGGCTGGTGGGGGCCATGGCCTCTTATAATCTTTAGAAAGAAATATTAATTTTCTCCACATGGAGGGCCATGGCCTCTTCCAATCTTTCAAAAATCTCTTAATTTTCCGAATAAAGTTATTCAAATGTTCATCAGCAGTCATGTGTTGATGTTTTGTAATGTTCATTTTTTGACAAAAAATTTCATTGTACAAATAAAAAAAGATAAACAAATCATTATAGAGATTCTTGGTAATTTATTATCCAATAGTGATTATTTTCTTTGAAGTCAAGATATTAAAAGTAGTGGTTTTTTAAAATGAATCCGTAATCTGACCATTTTGACATCAAATTTAACACAAAATTAACTAGTTTTGAATACTTTTGACTAATTTAGTCTTCAAAAATAATATTATATGATATTATATATTTATAATAATTTACATAATTAACTCTTTTTTATTTAAAATTTTACATATAATATTATATGTATCTATTCATTTATTTTAATTATCAACCTAACATGTTCAATCTGATCCGGTGTGATTTAATTCAAACGATAGGGGAGAGGAGGATCAAGGATGAAGGTACGTTAGGTATGAACTTATCAACACTTTTGTTTAAATAGCAGCTGGTTAAGGTATGATGTAAGTGATGCAACGTGATTCTGCTGATCTCATAACACCATATAATGTTGGCGCAGACCTGCAAAATTATAAGGATACAGTAGTAGGTAGAGTCCGTTCATATTTAGTCTATGGAAATAATTTTTTTTAATCTTTGTCTATGATAATAATTAAGTAATTGAAACAAGACACAATTTCTTACATTTTATAGACAGCGGCGGAGCCATTAAATATTTTTAGGGGGAAAAAAATTTTTCAACTAAAAAAAGATGATTTTGTGTGTCGATTTAAAAAGTAAAAAAAAAAAAACATTTGTTAGTCTCTAAAATAATAAATTAATAGTAGTTGATAATGTTTTATCAAAAATAGTAAGAGTAGTTTTGATAATGTAATATAATATCCATTAGTTGAAAGCTAAAAACAAACATATATCTATTAAATAGATTAAGGATTTGTCTAATCTATGCCGTAAAAGCACATATTAAAATTCATTAATTAGGGTATTTTTAATTAATTTTACATAAATTTTTATATCAGATTTATAATATTTTATA